AGATGCCTGGCTCAGAAGCTGGAATCCTTCACTGAGGGCTGTGAGGTCAAAGGCTGAAATATTAGAACAGGCTAGTTTCTCCAGCCAGGGCTCAGCAGGCTCTCCCTGGCTACAATAGGAAGCAGGAAGCATCCCTGAGAATAACTATATATGGAGTAGGAAAGACCCAACTAGGAACCCAGAAACCTGCTGTAGGTTCCCGATCAGGGTGTGTTCCTTCTCTGGGAGCTCAGGGAGTTCTGCCACAAATAATGAGGCCATCCATCAGAAAGAGCAGTTGAGGGGCCTAATAGCTCCAAACACCATGACTCTATGATTCCATGTTCTGGAACCTCACCCCTCTGTGGTGATTCACTGCAACACTTGGTGACCGCTTGGGTTTTCTTTTCCTGACTATCTTTTTGATTCAAAGCAAACCAGGAATGGAAAAGCAGAACTCCACATGGGGCCCCATTGTCTCCATTTCTTATGTCACTAAGTGCCTCCTTTGCCCAGGCTGTGTTTTGTCAGAAGTTTTCATGAGCAGTAAATGTTGCCATAAAATACTTCCACTGTCCACAAAGGCAGGAGGGAGAGGGTGGGATAAGGCCCAAGAAGAAACACTGTCAAAACCACAGCTGCCACCACAGAAGTGTCTTAGGTCCTCCAAAGAGTGTTATAAAACCATGACAAAAAGCTTAAAACCTTCTGTGGTGTCTCACTGAAAGTTGAACAAGTCTGTTAGACTATTAGAAGAGAAACTATGAACTCCTTGGGAGGAGGGGAAAAGTTCATCTTGGCATGTCTTGGAACAGTTACCATTCTGTTTCTAATGTCTGGATATCACCAAAGTGAGGCTTCATCTGATCCCAGGGATACATCACAGGGTTCAGACACAGGAGTGACCAATAAGGAACGGTGGCCTGCCAAGACAGTCCTACACTGATGTGTCACATTCAGTATAAGGGAAGATGGGTCCTGACCTTCCACATACCTCCTGCACATGACGCTAACAGTTTGAGAAAAAGACATGGTTAACATTTGGAAACCCACCGGGCGTTGGTGGCACACGCCTTTAATCCCAGCACTAGGGAGGCAGAGGCAGGTGGATCTCTGTGAGTTCGAGACCAGCCTGGTCTACAAGAGCTAGTTCCAGGACAGCCTCCAAAGCCACAGAGAAACCCTGTCTCGGAAAAAAAAAAAAAATTGGAAACCCCATTTAAACCTCTCTTCTGGACCCACTTCCCACATCCTCTCCTTTCTTCTTCATAGTGCTTCCCAGAGGGAAGAGGGCATTGTCCCTGGTGGTCAAGTTGACAGGGAAGGGGAAAGAAAGGCAAGGATGATTCTATTAACCAAGGATGACTAGCTCAGCCAAGGCTGAGGAGAAGTGTCAGGCCGAATGGCAAGTCCATCATAGCAATGCCAGCTCTCACCTCCCCAGGCCAATGCACCCGCTTCTAATCCATGGCCTCCCAATCTGCTGAAGCCTCCCAGGCCGGTCTCCTCCTTTGAAGTTGTGGAGGCTATATAGCCTTGCTCCTGTGCCCAGACCGGGGCTTTGGTTGTCTCTGGAACTCCCAAATATCAACTAGACATGCTGTTATCATTGCATTGATCACAGGGCTATGCTACTGCAGTACCCCACACCTCAGGAGTAGGTCATTAGCAAGCTCCTCATATTCCTGACAATGTATGTGCACATGACAGCAAGCACCAGATTCTCACTTAGCATGATAAATATCTCTGGTATAATTAGAATCACAAGCTGAAACCTTCTGGTGTCAGAGTTATAAAATGGGACTGACTACCCATACATCAAAGGGACTTGACCATTTCTCATCAGAGGTGCAAGAGTCCTTGAGGATGTTGGAGATTTGTGAAAATGTAGCTGACTGGGCTTCCCCTGTGAGACCAACCAGACAAACTCAAGTTTGTCAGAAACCCTTCCAGGCTTTGAAAACATCCTGGTGACCAAACCCGACAACATGGAGGATGGAAAGAATCAAGAACTGCATGTGGGCAGAAGAACTCACTCAGTGGGTGAGTAGGGGTACAGTGCCATGACACAAGTGGCATTTGGCCAGGACACTGCCAACAGCTGCTGCCATCACTGTTCACACACAGTCCTTTGATGGAAGAGTAAAAAATGCCCAACCATCACCACCACCAGAGACACATCTACAGTGCCCCAGAATAACTTGTAAACACTTAAAACAGCACAGAATTAGGCTTCTTTGTCAACTCCCACTTTGCTCAGGGGTTCTTGTCCCCCTCCCCTTCTTCGAGAGAGCCCATTCCCTATGGAGGGTTACTATTGCAGCCCAGATACAGCAAGGAGGGCCTAGGCCCTCCCCCAAATGATATGATGGACTTTGTGGGTCCCCTCTGGAGGGCCTCATTATCCCTGGGGAGGAGTTGGGGGATGGGTTGGTGGGGAACATGGGAGGATGGGAGGGTGAGGGAACAGGGAGGAGGGATGGATATGTAAATATGGGTAGTAATTAAAGAATTAAAAAGAAAAAACAAGATCAAAGGAAATTTTAATCTCAAGGCTTCAGTGTCTGGTCTGGGCTAGTCTTTATCCTTACAATTTTGGTGATGTCTACTCCATAATGTTTCAAGAGCCTCAGTTATGTATCAACTAGCCTAGGGCTATGTTTTCTTTAGTCAGTTATCATATTTGTAATGTTCAGATTCTGTACAGGTCTATAGGCCTTTTTACTAGTAATATAATGCATAACATTCAAAATCTTGTCGTTACACAAAAGTGTCGTTACCACCACACAACAAAAACATCCACAGAATGTTTCATAGGAATAGAGAAGAAACTCACAGATGTACTCTCAAGCCCTGGCAACCTACAGTACAACCCCCGACTAGCCCCATGGCTGTCCCCTCAAGCCAAACCCCAGTCAGACCCACTGAATCAGGTTCTTGCACATTCACTGGCATGGTCAAGTTTAAGGATCCCTGCTCCCAGACTGTCCCTGCCCCACCCATCTCTTACATCACCCTCCCTTGGAGGCCATGTGGCTTTCTCCAAAGAGTCCAGTCACCATGGCAAACTCAATCTGAATGGCATTACACCCACCTGGCTGTACCTGGCTCACTCGGCCTCCTTCCTTGACTTTCAAGGCCAGGTTGGTTCAGGGGGGTTAAAATAGGCATTTTTTTGCTCCGCCCCAAATGTTTATTCATAAGGAAAACAACCTATTTTTAGGCATCAATTGCCAGCCCATCCTGGCTCGTGGGGTCCTTCTCCTCCCACTTGCCCAATTAGAAAGATCATATTGTTTCCTGGCATACAATTCCAAGGGCTTTTGAACACAGGCAGGGGACCAGGAGAAGGGATCCAAGAACAGCTCTTGGAGAATGGAAAAAAGATGATTTCTGCTCAAAGCAATTTCCTCAGCACCCACCCTTTCCTCCCCCCACAGACACCATGCTGAAGGGACGCCAAGGCCACGTGCAAGTAACAGAACACCAATGTATGCAACACTTACTTTCACCCCCACAATACAGCAGAAGAAAGAAACAGCCAATCTACTGACTCTCCCGTTATCCCACCCAAGTTGAAGGCTTAACAAAATAATCCCAATTTCCCAGATGACAGGAAACTATGTTTTTTTGGAGGGGTGTAAGTACAACAATATGAAGTTTAAAAGCTTCTCACATGCTGCATCCCTGAATTCTTGAATCCCCTATTAAGGGGATTTTACCTTGTCCCCACACTATACTTCAGGGCTGGTAGCAAGAGAGAACGTTTCTTTTCTCACAGTAGAGGGCACTAATCTATCACTATACTTTCCCTACTGAGCCTACTTGTTGCTCTAACAATCCTCAATCAAGGCTTCGTGAATAGTCCTACAGTACACCAAACCCACCCCAAACTTCTGAACTGAGGTCCACATCTACAAACTCCATTTGTGCACCAAGAAGTGGGCTGATGGACTAGAAAGCACAGTCTATGTAGTCCTCACTGTATAAGCAAGAGGACCAGCTTTGATCCCCAGAACCCAAGTTAAAAATCCTTGTGTGGAACATGCCTGTGATCTCATCATGGGGGTACATTCATCACTGAGGAGGCTGGACAGTAGAGCCTGGGACTTGCTAGCTAACTGACCTATCCTATCTGTGGACACCAAGCTAATAAGACATTACCCCAAAGCCCCAAAACATTCAAAGTAGACAGTACTTGAAGTTGAATGGTAACTGAGATTATTGTCCTTTGCCCTCTGCACGTGCACGCACGTGCACACGCACTCACGTGTTGCTGTCACTGATGTGGAGCCACAAAGCAATATGCGCCTGCTATCCTGGGCTACTGTCTGGAACTACCCAACCTTTGCATACCAGTTTCTACAACTCCAGAGGTTCCAAGTTGCAGGCTCCTATACAACTGACTCATTAAAACAGCTTAAATTAGCAGTAAATATCCAAAAACAGAAGGCAATATGAAAACCCAGATTTCAGGTTGAAAAACAGCTTTCCCCTTGCAAAACCAAACCCACATTTGCACATGACACTGGGGAGCTAAGTAGTGGTTAGTGATTGTAAACAGGACACTGGCTCTCCAGTTTATCCCAGTTGCCACCACTCTGATCTGCCTTATATAGCCTGTTCTACACTGCCTTCCTGAATGCATGACTGTCCCCCAGCAGACTACAGTAGCTCCCCAAACCACCAGGACCTACTGCTCACACCACCATCACCTCCTCTCTTAGCAGCCACATCTGCACAGGCAGGGGTTCCCCTGATTTAGGGGACACATTTGGGGAGAAGAGAAGCCACCTACTCTCCATACAGCCCCAACCTGAGACTTACAGTCTGCCCAACCACACCCCAGCAAGCATATCCTTTAGAGCAGGAGACACCCATCTCCAACCTACTTCAGGCTTCTAGCGCTGCCATTCAATAAGTGTGTGACACTGTTAGACCTCTGCCTGGTTTGAACAATGGCACTCTTCCAAGTTCATGGTACAACAATCCCCAAGGCAACAGAAGCAAGAAGTAGGGTTATGCTTGCCTCAGCAGCACACACACTAAGGCTGTAACAACACAGAGAAAATTAGCATGACCCTTATACAAGGGTGACAGGCAGGCCTGTGAAGTGTTCCACAATAGAGAGAAAAATGGGCCCTGTGGTAGGTGATATCACGGGACTTTGTACTCCTTTGTAGATTAGTCCTCTTATAGCAGGGCTCCAGGTGGCAGGGAGTTCTCTTGACCTCCACCTTCCACTAAGTGAGTATACAACGGTACCCATGTTGCTACCTAAATCTTGAACTTGCCAGTGTTCAGAGTTGTGGAAATATTTTTCTGTTCTTTATCTGTTATGCAGGTTCTCTATCTGTTAAAGGCTTTGTTCATTTGATGATGATGATGAATTATTTGCAATGCTAAGGACTGAATCCAGAACCTTAAGCATGCTAGGTTAAGTATTCGAACACTGAGCTACATTACCAGCCCCAAGGTGTATTTTTATAGTAACAAATAAAAACAGGGATAACCCAGAAACAGTTAACCTATTCCTTTACCGAGTTATCCTAAGAAGTAAAAAGGAGGGCTTGGGACCATGGCAGTATGTAGAAGGTGCTCAGTGAAGTTGGTACCTGTTGATACAGTTGGTACTTGGAATATATTCATTACTGAGCCCACTTTTCTATCACCTTTGGCTACAACCCTCAGCCCCTCTTAAAAAGATCTGCCACATGCTCATTACCTGAGGCAGAAGATAAGGTACTTTAACCTGTGGTGTGCTCTGGTCAAGTTGTCTACATCAGCACCAGAGGGTGTTGGCTGGAGGAGTAAGTCACAAAACCACACAGCTGCTACATCAGTGCTTGGTGTTCTCCCCCGCCACATCCCTCCGAGCTTCTGTAAGAACCTGCCAAACACTTCATTTGTTGTTATTTTTTAAGTTACAGTGTTCATCTGTCTCTCTTCAAAGTTAGTAAGTACTTTTCATTCTGGGTTGGCCCACACAAACCTCTCCCTTCTCTGATCTCACACGGCACTTGGTCAGGACCACACAGCTCAACAGTGAATGACCTCTCAGTATTTCACACATACTGAGTGACTTTCCAGAGAAACTGTGAGCAGCCCAAGGGTGGTGGCCTCTAAAATACACAGATGAACATCCCCCATACTCTTTCCTTATTTTAGGAAAAACAGACCCCCATTTTTGGCATTCATTTTATACCAGCAAATGCTAAGCAATGGGGCAAACAGAATCCACATCAATGCCCATTCCCTATGTGCTAAGAGACATGTTTTATGTTAACCAACCCATGGCATGGAAGGTTTCTAGTCATCTTTGGTACTGTTTGATCCATGCACGGTATTATAAATGAAAAGGGACTGAACTGGGTCACTGTCTTGTTTGTTTCCTTAAAAAGGAGCTGTCTGTGATCCTGAGGCTGCAGAATTTCATCTGCCAACACTGCCAACCAGACAGGAGAAAAAAAATGATGTGTCTTTCCCAAACATAACAGTTTCCGTGCAAGTTCCTCCTCTCAGTTCCAAATGCCAGTCACTGATTTCAACAGGCGACAGCTCTGCTTCAGCTGTCCTTTTCAAAATTCAGAAGGCCTCGTGGTCAACAGCAGGGGCTGTTCAAAGCATGTCGCCATCTGGCGTCTCAGAGCTTGGAGGTGTTTGGGAGAGTTCTTGTCTGTGGCATCTCTTTAAGCATCCATTTACTGTAGTTACTTTCAAAAGCCCATATCACCCCGTGTTAGTGCACAGCTCATGCTCCCCAACCCCACCTTCATGGTTGCTGTCCTAATATGTGTGCTCTCAACTTCTGCTCCAGCACCAGGCCTGCCTGCCTGCCTGCCTGCCTGCCACCATGATGGTCATGGACTCACCCTGTGGAACTCTAAGCAAGCCCCCAATTAAATGCTTTCTCTTCTAAGTTACCTTGGTCATGGTGACTTATCACAGCGTTTAGAAAGTAACTAAATACCCCCAAACAACGTCCTCCTCTATGGGATGGACACAGCCTTATCAGAGAGGCTCTCAGGGGCTGACTCCAGTGATGCCGTGTGGTGCTGCCAGGCCTTTAGTAACAAGATGTCTGTGATATTCCTGTGGCCTTGATAAAGGAACAATGCTGACCTCTAGCAGTGGCAGACGTGTCTGGTCAGAGCCTGAGGTCTCCCTGAAGGAAAATAAGACCAACACTGGCACGAAGAACAAAGAAACAGAAAACTCTTTGCCTCCCACTTAGAGCAAGTTGGAAGCCCATTCCTTAATTAACTGCTTGATCTATCACTCGAGTCTGCAATCCTGCATCTCTGCCATCCCTGTATTCTAGTTTTACCTCAGCCCTATGTGTGCCTATTCCCAGGACCTGTGGGTGGGGAGGTGTGGGACCCTAAGGAAGAAAGCCTGGGGGAGAGAAGGAGATAACGTTTCCCAAGTATTCCTTGATTAAACAGAACACACCCACGAGGGCCAGGGCCCAGTGAGCAGAGCCTCCTTTCCCCTTCATTCCTGACTTGTGCTGGTGGCCCTGGGAGGCCAGGGAGCTCCCATTTCAAATGAAAGTCCCTTTTGAAAAGCCATGTCCTATGTACTCTGCTGTGGCCTGACCACTCTGTCCAAGGCTCCTTGCCACTTTAGCGACTAAGCTCTGGGAAGGAGGTGGAGTCCTCTTCCTCTTGCAGTGAGGTACCAAATAAATGAGTTACTAAAACAGGTACCAAGCCCTCCAAGAGAGATTCAGTGACACACAAGGAGGGGAGAAATAGGAAATAAACACATAGATGACTGCTAAAAACCCATTAAAAAAAAAAACAGCTTTCATTGGCTTGGGACATGATCCTAGCACCTCTCACAGGACCCATAGGCACAGTCCCTCACAGCTCAGAAAGTTAGTGACTCTGCCACTTTTAGATTGTTTCAAATGACTGGTCATCAAGCTTGTGTCCAATTACTTCCACACTCTTCTGAAGTAAATTCTGCACCACTGTGATGGCTCCGATGCATCCTAAGGAGAGAAGGTAGTGGTCTCTAACAGGCTTCCCATTATCCCAGCTTGCTTTCTCCAACAGGCTCCTCGGGAGGCTCTGCTTCCTGCATGGGAATGGCTGAGGCCATCAGGAACTGGGTCAGATACACCCACTGCTGCTTACAGGTGCCCTAATCCCTCTGTCTAATCCACCAAAAAGGGCACATGTGAGTCGATTCCTGGGACTTCCAGGGATCCCTAGATGGCTGTTCGTAGCCATGGCTACTCTGTGCATATCCTGAACATACCTGATCCTACCTTCTGCTCTCCAGCCAAGCTGAGGTTCTGCTGAGCCTGTCCTTTGCTTAGCTCATACCAGTAACTCTTCCCCTTTGATTTCCCATGTCTACTCCCTACCTGCCCTTTGAGAGCTAGCTCACAGCCATGGAACTTTCCCTCTATAGTACTGCTCTTCTGAAGAGGCCCTGGTCTTTATCTAATCCATTTCAATTCCACAACTCCCTTTCCACAGTCTAGTGGACTTGAGAGCACGTCTCTTCTCCCTCACTTCATAGTAGTACACACAGCCTCGAGGTCAAGTCCTTTTGGATTCCCCTTCACATCTCCATGCAGCCTCCGGACACCCAGTAACAGATTCTTTAAGACGCCCCCCTGTAGCTCTGTACTGCTTGCAGAGATGGAGCATGCATCCACAAAACACCTTGGGTGTGCCCTCTTTGAGGGTGGAGTCCAGTGGCAGAGTCCTGCCCTCAGCCCTGCCCTGAGAACCAATCACCAGACTCAAGTGCACAGCTTCCTAGGTGCAGATACAGAGTTGGAATGCCCAGGCAGCTGCCATGGGACAGGAGTTCCAGGGAACATCAAGGTCCAGGCAGAAACATAGAAAAGGCATTTTTTATGTAGTCAGGTCATGTTCTGGTACATACAGTTGGAGGGCTCAGGGTCACAATAAGATATGGCCTTGGTGATAAGGACAATATATTAGGCCAAACATATTGCCCACAGTTACATGACAACTGAGAGTAGCTGGTACTTGTGAAGGAGCTGGGGGAGTCAGAGCCTTTGTTCCAGACAATTCCATGAGATTGAAGAGGCTAGGAATGCAGGAGGCTGGTTTACTTCTAGTGGCCCAGGTGGGAGGATCAGCCAGGCACTCTCTTCTCTGCTTCTTGGGAAGAATGTTGAGGAAGGTTAAGGACAGTTACTGACTCTAGTGCCCAGGAAGGCGGACAGGCCTGACCCACCAGCTCAGTCTCCCTCCACAGCAGCCCCCAAGGGTAGTGAATTCCCTTTATTTGGAGTGCCAATGCCCAGACAGCTATAGGCAATAAACTCACAAGGGCAAAGACTGTGTGGTCCTATCTGCACACTATGTCTTTGTAAAGCCATGAGTGTGGTTGAATGGTACAGAGTTCAGATTCTTTACCTTGAACATCACAGGCAGTCCATTTTGGGGATCCTGTCAGTCTTACACAGTAGGGAATGGGGTAAGGTATATAAAACAGATGAGCATCTTAATGGTGAGATACAGCCCCAAAAGCATCTGCTGTGGTTGTTAGCAGGGAAGCCTGTTGCATTTACTTGAACCCTTCAGTGAGGGATCCACAGAGATGCAACAAAGGTCCACAGCTTTGCTGACCACAGCAGTTTTGAAGCAGCCTGTCAGGTCTGACCACCTTAGCAGGAGTGTCAAGCCATAGACAAAGAAGCAACCCAGCAGGTTCTGGGCCATTTTCTTAAACACACGCATACATGGAAACTAAAAACAAAAAGCAACAAATCAACCACCTCAACAGGCTGTAGCTGTATGTCAGTCTGCTTCCCAGAAACTAGGTCAGCCACTTAGCCTTCCTTTTCTCTTGGAAAAAAAAAAATCCCTAACAAAAATATGGAATTCATCTGCATTGCAATCCCAAGTGGAGAGAGGATTCATTTCCTCTCTGTGTATGGCTGCTCCTCCCACTCACTCATTTCTCAGGCACAATGAGTGAAAACACCCCCTGGTAGGAATTCCAACAGCCCCACAGAGACAGATGTCTTGGAAAGCTGCTTGCCCCGGTGATGTGGATAACATATGCTCTCCGGCCTCCACAGTCTGTGACTGTGCCTGGAATGTGCATGCATACCCGTGTGCATGTATGTATGTACCT